TATTGGTGCAATTGTTGGACAAAATGACTTGCAGTGGTATTAATTGCACTAATAGAGCGTCCAAGGAGTCTCCACTTCATTTTTTTCGGTAAGTTAAAATCTATATTCGTATTTTATGTCACTGCTGCCTTTAAACTAGCTGAGTTTACTGAAGTAGCTAGCTAACTATCAGTTTAACATGTAGCATGTCCTGTTTAACCATGAAATTTAAATGTAAAATACGGTAAAATAATTAATAGGGCATATTTAGATGGGTAATATGGTAAAAGATCAAAATGGGTTGAAATATGACGGATCGCTAAGAGGGAGACTTCTGTGTCCATTCTTCCATCCGGTAATCCCCAGCGGTCAGGCCGGGCAGCCTGACCGATCCGGCGCCTACTTGCTGCGCCTAGCTGCTGCGCGGTCTGACCGCTCGTGGAGTTTTTCCTGTCTGACTTTAACCGCATCTAATACTGTATTACGGCGTGAGCGCAACAGCGACAACTTAATATCGATGTGTAAGCAGCCTGAGTGGTAGGGTGTTTTCATCTGAACCCTTAAAATCTCCAGCAGGCTTGGAGTGACACCTGTGTCCATTCTTCCATCCGGTAAACCCCAGCGGTCAGGCCAGGCAGCCTGACCGGTGCGGCGGCTAGTTTCTGCGCGGGCTGACCGCTCGTGGAGCTCTCAGAGACAGATCTGACCGGAGAAATACTGCAGCTCGGTGAGAAGTCTATAGGGCATACAGCGTTTCCCTTAAATCCCACCGCCACGCCGACAAGATCCCAAGTTTCTTTGTTTTTGTTTGCGCTGTTTACCGAAGAAGCAGCGGGAACTAATATGTTGTCGCTTGTGATCACAGCCGGCGGGTAGCAAGTATGTACAGTCTATGATTTTACCGCTCCCTCCTGCAGTCTTCCCCTATTAAAATTTAAAATGTGTAACTTCATGTATTGGGATGAATGACTGATATTCATGTTAAACTCAAACGTTAGGTATTTAGGGGGAAAAAACAAAATAAAACATTATACAGATGTCAAATAAATCAAACTGTAATTAAACTATATATTTTCAAAATCTCGATTCTGGATAAAATCCAACAACATATGCTTTATAAATAAACACTACACATGGCTTTTACACACACACACACACACACACACACACACACACACGTTACATTGTGATTTCTTAGTAAATATTCTATTTGGCGAGAGATAAATTTTATTGTATTTATCCTAGTGAATCTATAATTAAACGGGTAAACTAGCAGTAGCACATCCAACATCAAAGAAAGTAAAATGTTATTATCAGGTGAGGGAGAATGATTAAGTGGTTAGCAGCAGTGTGCTAGATGATGGCCCCCTCCATGAGGCCACCACAGCTCAGCAGAACATCATTGTAGCTTCTTCTGGGGAGAAAAACACTTAGAGAAAAAATAAAGTTAACAGCTGAAATAGCAGGAAATAATACAGTTAAAGAGCAGATTGTAGAAGAAAGAAACCCCTGGGTTAAACTGGTCTGTCTACTGCATAATGCTGAACTCTAACATGTGTCCTCAGGGAAGGACCTGATTGGTGTCCAGAACCTGCTGAAGAAGCACCAGGCTCTGCAGGCTGAGATCACAGGTCATGAACCTCGCATCAAGGCTGTCACCCAGAAAGGAGAGACCATAATGGAGGAAGGTAGAGCAGGTCTGGTCCTGACATGTTTCTGAGGTGTCTGCAGGTTCTGGCTCACTTTGTTTGGGTCCAGGTCACTTCGCTGGTTCAGAACCCTCGGCCCGTCAGAACATTCTTATCCACCACGTTCTAACACCAGACCTGTTAACCCGACAGCAACAAGTGGCTCCAACTGACGATGAGACCGGGAAGGAGCTGGTTCTGGCTCTGTACGACTACCAGGAGAAGAGTCCTGGAGAGGTCACCATGAAGAAGGGCGACATCCTCACGCTGCTCAACAGCACCAACAAGGTTCGTGTGCCCTTCACAGCCGAGGAACGACCTCCAGCTCAGAGCGAACATCTCCACACCTGCTTTGTGTTTGTGTGACTTTAGGTTGTTTTACTTGAACTCGCGTCTTTAGCTGAATGAGGATGGAGAGACGGGTCGGACCTGGAGCAGGTCGAGGTCTTGCAGAAGAAGTTTGACGACTTCCAGAAGGTCGGACTTTTCCTCCTCTCCGTCTTCCAGCAGCAGCTGTCAGATCAGCTCAGGTGATAATCAGCAGGTGCTTTTGTCCTGCAGGACCTGAAGGCCAACGAGTCCCGCCTGAGGGACATCAACAAGGTGGCATGTGAACTGGAGTCAGAAGGTCTGATGGCTGAGGAGGCTCCTATGGTTCAGGCTCAGGTGAGCGTCACCTGTCTGCAGCAGCTGGTCCCTCTCACTTCCTGGTTTGTTAACTCTGCTCGTCTCTGTTTGTAGCAACAAGAACATCTGGGTTCTGCTCCTGGAAAGGTGCGTGTTGTCCTCCACCAGAACCAGACGTGGTGTTTTTGTTACCACTCATTTGTTTGTTTACAGGATGAAGCCGACTCTGACCCCGGCTTTCCACAGGAGTCGTCAGCAGCACGTTACTGCAGAAGCAGGTCATAGCTGCTGATAGGAACCGCTGTGGTCAACAGAACCTTTTCCACTGGAGCCGTCAGCAGCGCGAGTCGGCCGCGTCTCAGGAGCAGCATGTCGCGGCCTTTACGCGCCGGTTCTATTTTCTACGCGCGACGCCTCTGAAACGGGTCAAGTTCGACATTTTTGGGGAAGGAAAGACAGGAAATCGGACGCGGAAATTGAGAGAAGCTACCGAGATTTTCAGAATAAAGAACGTACTGCCTTCCGGTTGCTTTACTTTTAAAAAAGGTTACTAACTGCGGCCCCGTGAGAAGTTATCACCTAGCTAGCGGTCTCCTTTGTTTTTCAGGTCCGTATTGGCGATTATAAAACGGACAGAACATAAAACACAAACCATGTTGTAGTTTTCTCCTGCTTGTTGTTGTGTTTACTGACGAAGTCACTCGTGTGACTTCGTGCTCGGTCGGTGACAGCTGCTCCCCTGCTGCTTCGCGTCTCGTGGGAAGGGCCAAGCAGCAGCTTACGCGAGCAAGACGTGCTGCTGCAGTAACGTGCTGCTGACGGCTCCGGTGGAAACCCGGGGTAACACGGCGTCACCCTAGAAGGTGAGTTCATTCAGCTGATCAGAGGTCACCTCTGATGGCCGCAGTCACGGCCGACCGTGCTGAAATCACACAGGAATTCAGGTGACCCGGCAGGCACCAGGTGCTGGTGAAAGTGGGGACATGTCAGCTGGTTGCCATGGCTACAGTTATCTTTATGCATCTGTATGACTGCTGACTGGTGTGTGTTTCCTGTGACCTTTGACCTCAGACCGTACGGTTGGGCGTTCAGACGACGGCTAACTTTAATTCCATCAAGGTAAGAGGAAGCTCTTCCCTTCCTGTCTGAGCGATCCGTCTCCAGGTTTCCTCGTCCGGCGTCCAGCCCGCTGGCGTCCACCTTCATCTCACTGGGTTTGGTTTCTCTCCAGGAGCTGAACAACCGCTGGCGCTCGCTGCAACAGCTGGCTGAAGACCGGAGCAACATGCTGGGCAGCGCCCATGAGGTGCACTGCTTCCACAGGTACCCCGCACACTTATGCGCCGCTTACGGGTCAGTAGAGTTTGGACCCACACTCAGACGGAGTTCTGATGTCTTCTCAGAGACGCTGATGAGACCAAAGAGTGGATCGAGGAGAAGAACCAGGCCCTGAACACAGACAACTACGGCCACGACCTGGCCAGCGTTCAGGCTCTGCAGCGTGAACATGAAGGCTTTGAGCGTGACCTGGCAGCTCTGGGTGATAAGGTCCGCTTCCTGATCGGTACCAGGACCCGGGTTGTCTCTGGAGACACGTTCTTCATGGTTCTGGTGACTCCACCCCAGCCGTTCCTGATCAGCGATCAGCGGGGTGCTTTCCTATTTATGGTGGATGGAGGACACAATTTGACGCCAGAAGATTGCCTCAGTTTTGGTAGTAACCAGCCACTCGTGTTACCTCTAGTGTTCCTAGGATTAATGTTATTTTGTAGTGTTTTTGCTCTTATATTGGATTTACCATTCTTCAGGATTCCTGTCGACCTCATTGGATACTGACCTCTACTCCAGGATTTGGATATTCAACACACGGACCTTATCACCACTTTCCATAACCCACCTCTCATCTCACCCAGTGCCCCATCCACCAGGACGCCCCGCTTCTCTCCACCTCTGCTCCCTCTCCTGCGCTTCCCCCGGCTCTCTACCTCTCCCTCCTCCAGCCAACACATACACCCACCACAGTAAGTCTGCTGAACACCTCTGCCTGCCTACAATGGATTTTGAAACCAGAACCTAAGCTCACCTGTGTTCTCCCTCCTCCAGATGCTGAGCTGTTGTTGCAGTTCCAACCACAGACTTATCTGTGCACCTTAAGTTCCTCCTTATAAATAAATCATTTTTTCCATCAGTTTTTGGTCAGTGTTGTATTCTGCATGTCTTGGGTTAAGTACCTTCCTCCAAACATGACACTCCTCTTCAAAGAGCAAATCTGTTCAGCACATTCTGACAGACAGACCACCATTCTTCTGTCATGATGCTGTACAGGACATTTTTAGAGTTTTTCTTTTTAAAGATAAATAGGATTACATTTAAATAGCAATACTTTCACATTATTTTCCCACACTTCTGTATAACTGTATTTTGTTGTTTTTCAATAAAGAATGACAAATTATTTAAGTTTGGATTTGTTGCACACAAATATATATCTGTAAAAAATATCTACAAAGCTAATGTTTACATAACAAGTATGATTGGGTTTTGCAATACGGCACTATTTTAGTAAGATTTTTAAACCAAGTAAAGTTAGTAAAGAACACATGTCTATTGTCTGCTAAGAAACTGTTAGGATTTAAAATGGGCCTGTTGTACAAATAACTTGTAAATGATTATTCCTCACTTTTGTCTTAACCAAAGAAATTCCAGTAATTGAGCAAAAACATTTATTTTTAACACTACATTTTATAAAACAGGGCGCAAAGTGTCGGCACATGTATGTATGTCGATGGTCCGCCCCAACCGAACCAGGAGACACGTCAGGGAGGCCAAGGTTGTCTCTGCAGCTCTCTGGGCACCACGCCTCACATAGCTGTCTCCAATGATCCAAATGGCTATGGAGAAAAAATAACAGGTTTGTCATAATTGTTTAAAGTACAAAACCATACATGAAGTGGTGAGACAGGTATGTGGAACTTACACTTGCTGCTTTGTGTAGCTGATGTTGGAGAGACACAGGCTGCCATGGTGACATTTAAACAGATCTAAGAAAAAAATGAAAATTAAAAACTCCAAGACCTCATGTCATATTTACTAATCAGCTATGGCTGATTTATTGTTTGGATCACAGTGAGTTACACTAATTCTAATATATTTTTATTTCTATTATACATACATACTTTTTAACTGTTATTTTCACATGACTGTTATCAGGCTCTCTTGTTCTGGTTCTCATGATAATCCCGTGTCTTCCAGTAAGTTATCTTGTGCTTACTTTATCTGTAGAATGTCTCTTTACTTTTGGTAAATTGTACTGAGTCCAGAATAAAGACTAGTTGGCTGTACAAGATACAAACATGTATTACATTTTGGAAATATATGAAATGTAATTACGCTGCTAATTTAGCTCAAATACTAATAACTGCCATATTTTCCGGACTATAACTCGCACTTTTTTACATATTCTGGCTGGTCCTGCTACTTATACTCCGGAGCGACTTATATAACAAAATATGTAGGCTACACCGCGCTGCTGCGGGCCGACTCCGACCCACACAAGAATGAGTTCCCCTGTCCCGCTGGGAGGGTTTCAAACACCGCCAGCATCTGTTAGAGCCTGTGGCGGGGTGCTGAGGGCCGGCTCCAGCCCAGGAATGAGCTCTCCTCGCCGGCCGGGAGGGTTTGAAACACCGCCATCCTCTCCTCTGCTGGCTGTTCATTCTGTTATGGTTACCGGTGCTTGTGTTGCAATGTGAAACGCTTGGTCTCAGATTTTGTAAGAAAGATAATAAAATGTCCCCCCAAAATACGACTTAAATATATTTTCTCTTCTTCATGATACATTTAATGGCTGGTGCGACTCAGGAGTGATAGCGCCGAAAAAAACTGTACTGAAAACTTGCTCAAAGCAAAATGTTTTCATTACGGAAATAAATTATAAACTTACCGATTTAAAACTTTTTTAATACAGGTACTTCTCACGAACAGGCGCAGAAAACCTCCACCTAAACTCCGTGTAAGGTTCAGGTCGATGGGTGTTCCAGTTAGCTCCGGTTGGGTTGAAGCTAGGTGGCTACATCCGTTAGCTCGGCTCCCACCTCCGCTTTAGCTTTGGGTTAGCCAGGGTTAGCTTCAGGTTAGCTCGTAGCTAGTTCGCCTGGGTGTCGTCACTCGAGCCCAGCCTTACAGCCACACCCTCAGCACCTCCTCTCTTCCCTTTTATGGAATTGTCTGGGCTGGACGGAACCTGTGACACGGTCAAAATTGCGGTGGTGGCCACCTCCCATTATAGACAACAAACGTGTTATTGGAGGCAATGGAATCCGTTTGTCCAGTATGTACAGTCTATGGGACTCCCTCCCACTAGGGCAGTGGTCCGAAATTAGCGACCCGTGGGCCAAATCCGGCCTGCCAGACTTTTCCGCCAGCCCCCAATTCTTCAGGCCCAAGGGCCTCCAAATATCAATAAATATCGTCATGCTGTACCACTAAAGAAACGTCAGGACCTTGGCCACAAGAACATGTAAACCTTTTTTGAGTTAACTAAAACTGCAATCAAAACAGTGACCACAAATCCCTCATGTGTGAGTGTTTTCAGTCGATTCACTCGGTACAAGAAGGCACTATGGGACTTATCGAAATGTCCCATGAGCAGCTATTAAACTTGGGTTGAGATTGCAATCTAAGATGGCAAGTCAGACCCAGCAGAAAGAACTGCATGCGCTACTGAAGGGGCCGAAACATCCAAATGGTCAAACTTCACAAAAGTGTGGTGTGTTGCTTGCAGCTGAGCAAATGACAAACTGAAACACCTTTTAAACAGTGCCCAAGAAGCAGCCACACCTCTAGTAGAGTGTGCCCTTACCCTTAGGGGAAGCTGGGAGCCAGTGACACTGTTACATGGGGAAATTCTCTCCACAATCCAATGAGAAAGTCTTTGCTTTGACAAAGCTTTACCCATGGAGGGTTTGGCGAAACACACAAACATTTGGTCTGTTCTTCCGATACTCCAAGTTCAATCTATATAAGCCAGAGCACAAACCGGGCACAGACAATGCAGCCTCCTCTCCTCCTCAGAGGCAAAAGGAGGACAACTGAAGCCCGAAAGCACTGTCAGGGAACAGAATACAGAATAGTTCAGCAGGATGACCTTGAGCAAATATGCAGCATTCAGATGCAGGGTGACACTAGATTCGTCTGATGATATTTTCAGACAGGAAGGTTGGACTGAAAGAGCATGAAGATCTCCCACCCTCTTCACCAATGCTAGGGCTAAGAGCAGAGCTGTCTTATAAGACAGAAGCTTCATGCTGATCGATTCAATTGGCTCAAATGGGGGACCACACAGGGCCTCCAGTGGCAAAGTGAGGTCACAAGAAGGGACAGAAGATCTAATAATGGGCCTTAGTCTGCGAAACTCTTTCATGAACCGAACGGCTAAAGGGTGAGCGCCAGGTGGAGGTGGGGGTCTCCACCCTCCCTGCCCTGGGCGCCCTGTGTCGGTGCCTTGGCTGCTGCTGTGGATCTGCTGCTGTCGGGGCGGATGGCTCCCCTGATGGCGTTTCCTTATTCTTATCTTTGCTGGTTTGGCTCATATGATCTCAGCCATTTGTATGTTTTTCATTGGGGGGAGGGCATGTGCGTGTGTGTGTGTGTGTGTGTGTGTGTGTGTGTGTGTGTGTGTGTGTGTGTGTGTGTGCGCGCGCGCGCGCGCGTGTGTGCGTGTGTGTGTATGTGTGTGCGCGTGTGTGTGTGTGCGCGTGTGTGTGCATGTGTGCAGGAGGATGAGTGTTGTAAAGGGGTTTTCATTGTCAGACTGTTTTAAAAATTCTGGGGATGGGAGGGTATGCGGGGCCTTTTTAATTTGTTAAGCACTTTTGAGTTGCATGTATTGCATGATTAAGTGCTATATAAATAAAGATTGGTTGGTTGGTTGGTTGGTTGGTTGGTTGGTTGGTTGGTTGGTTGGTTTGGGTTGGGCTGGCTGGCTGGCTGGATGGATGGATGGATGGATGGGTGGATGGCTGGCTGGCTGGCTGGCTGGCTGGATGGATGGATGGATGGATGGAAACTCCATTAAAAGATTCATGGCAAGCCGAAATGGCTGCCAGGTAGACCTTTAAAGTGGAGAATGACAAGTCCTTGTCCAACAGATCCTGTAGAAACGACAGAAGGTCCACAATGGAGCTCTGGGAGGGAACTCTTGACCTGCTCAGAAGAAGACGATCAAGATAAAAATCCAGAGGTGCTCAGACACCACACCTCAAAAACGTTCCAGGGGCCACCAAAATCAGAGACAGGCTCGGCCTGTGCACTCTCTGCAGTACTGCTGGGATTAGTTCCAGCAGAGGAAAAGCATAGAGAACATTGGGCCAAGGGTCCAAGCATCCAATCCCATTGGAGCAGTCTGATCCGTTTAGGAGAAGAACAGGGGACAGTGTGTGTTTGCGCTTGACCCAAACAGATCCACTACTGCCCTGCCGAACCTCAGCCAGATCTGGGACACCACCTCGGGGTGGAGCCTCCATTCCCTTGACAAAGGTCTGCCCCGGAAAACAAGTGTGCCCCGTGGTTGAGGCAACCGGGGACATAAGCTGCACTGAGAGACAGGAAATTCAGATTGCACTAGTGCAGTAATGTGTGGGTCAGATTCAGTAGAGGAAGAGAGCATGTTCCTCCCTGTCTGTTTACATGTGACACCACAGTCACAGCCTAACCAGTACATGCTGACCTCCCAGGTGATGACTGAAATGTTTCAAGGTCAGAAACATGGCTAACAGTTCCAGAAAGTTGATATGGAACCTCGATTGGGCTGAGGACCATACCCCCCTCACTGCCAAGCCCCCCAGACTCTGAGAGAAGCGTCTGTTGTCACCTGACCGAACGAAGGCAGAGAAGCTGAAGAGCCGCCATGAAAGATGGCGCTCTGCGGGCGAAGAACGCTAGCCAGAATGAAGTAGAGTCCAGCCAGCAAGCCGTTAAGCTATCTTTCAATAGCGTAGATAAAAGCACTGCCCTAAGCTGAAGGAGGAAAAGATCGCCTTTTCCTTTCTCTCTGAACTCACACTGAACAAAAAAAAAAAAAAACAAATATGTCTCAAAATTGGCACAAAGTGTAATAAACTGTGCAGATATCAGGCTAGGCTCGCCATAATGTTGTGATTAGAAGTTTGTATATTTATATACTTTAATTAGATAATTTAATTACCTGATTTTGTATATTCATACAATCTAAGTAATCAATCAGAAGAGGTTGTTTTTATCATCAGGGAGTTTACTTAAACACTTTGTATTGACTGAGAGACAAGAAAGAGAGATAGAGTTGGGATCGTTTAAGAATCTTTAATTTCTATAATTATAAATTCTTACAATCTACCAGGACTATCTCAATGATGAATGCATATGGATTTGGATGATTTGTGTTGGTGTGTGTGTGTGTTTTGTTCAGAATCTCTAGGATGACGTAGCGAGTCTGGTTTGTTATGACTAGGCTACCACGAGGCTTCAGAAGCTGATGACATGAGCCGCCATATTGCCGTACCTTAGATGGAGTCTCCCGTGTAGATCAGGGTTCCAAGACCTCGGTTGTACTGGAGCTGGTGAAACAGTGGTCACAGCACACAACGCCCGTCTGAGGATAACTCCGTTAGTGGTTGGCAGGCGTCAGCAAGTTCACTCTTATTTTGAAAGAAAGTTGTCTCGATGGTACAAACGACGGAAATCTCAAGCTTGACAGATCTCAGCTTAAAACAGGAAATACAGATGGCCAGCCTGTATTCCTCTTTGCAGTGATGGGTTGAGCTGGTTGAAAACAATGTTGAGAGTATGATGTAACTCCTTGGAGCTCGGATCGAGCAGAGCTGATGTCAAAGTGGAACTTAACGTGGAACAGACTTAAAATGGCGTTGCCTTCTTTTTATATCTCCCAGTTGTTTAAGAATCTTAGTAAACCGGATTGGACTACTTTCATAAACAAACCAGATTGTGCCCTACCACAGACGAAAGTTCTGATTGGTTGAAAACAATGTGTCATGCGTTTCCATGGTAATGCAAATCAGTGTGTCTGGTGCAGCCCTGTTTATTCATTTAAACACATAACTCATGACATCTTTATTTCACAGATCATTCACCTGATTATTAATGATCAACAAATGCTTTGATTAGCTTATCACAAATAAAGTACTTTGATTAATCAATGAAAAGCGTTCTTCTTCTGTTCTTCTGTCTCTTCTCCTGGAATGTAAACATACTGAACCAAGCGTCCGACCTTGGCGGTGTTACTGTGTGAAGGGGCAGCTGTTAAGGGCAGACCATTATAAGCTTCCTAACGCTACACTAGTTTTAGGTCAGTTCTCAGTGAGGTGAAAAGCATAAGAACTGAGTAATGGCGCTGTCACTTGTAAGTGGAGGGCAGGGCCTCCACACATTGTCACGTTCATTTGCCTTACAGATGTAATTAGATGTGTCTTAAGCAGTGTTGGGACTAACGCGTTATTAAATAACGCGTTACAGTAACTACGTTATTATTGTGGTAACGTCCACGGTAACTAGTTAGTTTGCCGAAATCAGGAACGGGTTTATCGTTGCTGGGATTTAAATAGGCTCGTTATTCGGTAACTTACGTGCCAAGCTACGGACCGCAGTTTCCGTGTTGGACTTTTTTTAAACAAACTTTATTGAAAAGGATTGGACACCGACCACCGACATGCCAGTGAACAAAGTTACGTTTCCGAAAAAGAAAAAAAAAGGTTACGTTTCCGTGGTGGACGTAAAAGCGCAGGTGACGCTGTGATGTAACGCACGGAGGCTAGAACTATGGCGGCAGATTATTTAGTTTCTCTTACTGAGGCTAAAAATACTTTAAATTTGCCCATCAATACTGAAGATGAGGTCTGGTGCAGTTCAGCTGTTTTCTGTTAAGTTTACAAAGAATGGATAAACCTCAATGTGTTTATGTTGAATAATGTTTGCACTGTTATTGATACGGTTCCTAAATGGTCTGAGGAACAATTTAATGTTGGCAATGCTAAAAGTATACTTTCTACCCATTTCAATGGCAAAAATAAATATACCTATCAAGGTTTCAACATACTGTATGTCATGTTTTGTGTGATCCACTGCTTTTTTGTAGTGATAGCCTACTAGGTACAATGATTAGATTTATAGCACTGTGTGACATCAACCACAAAATTATGTGTTTGCATTTGTAGAGGGTTAAAACAATAGAAATTGATTTAAACGGACGGATAAAAAGTGACACATAAAACAGACATTCTCCTTTCTAATTTAGTTTCATTCATTTCATCATTCACTTGCACTCACAGTACTCCACTGCCATTTTATGTTCAGACCACTAGGTGGCGCAGTGAACTTGTGGCAGGATAGGGCTATCATATAAGCAAGCAAGAAGACCAGCAACCTTGCTGGCTATCCAGTTAAGGAAGTAACACATTTTAATAAGAAAAATCTGAATAAAAACAGTTACTTTCCCTAGTAACTAGTTACTTAGAAACTAACGAGTAACTTAAAGTAACTGAGTTACTCTTGAAAGAAGTAACTAGTAATGTAACTACATTACTAATTTAAAGTAACTTTCCCAACACTGGTCTTAAGCCAGGCCACACGAAGGCATGATATCCCATAGTACCTTTGTTGTACTGAGTGAATCGACTGAAAGCGAGCACTATTTTCTAATCCCATTTGTTATGTGCCATGGATTTCACATATGATGTTTGTGAATTTTGAAGGCACCTTCTGATGCACACAAAGTGCTTATTTTCGAACCGGGGCAAAAGATTATTTTAGGTTTAGTGGGAAAATATGTCCAGGACTACAAATGCGCATCACCAAATGGATGTGATTGAATCAGACATGGAGAAAAGCAGAGGTAATATGGCTGTAAGTACGGCAGACTTTTAATCCTTCCCTGTTTTCTTTCTTTCTTTTTTTTTTGGGGGGGGGGGGGCTGGGGGGCAAGCAAGACGCTTCTGTGTATGTAAATATGGTTGAGGCTTTGCCCAAGCAGGCTTGTATGTAAATGAGTTGGGACTGCTTTTAATGACCAACAAGGACTCAGTGTTGAGATACTAAAGATGTGAATGAAACCTACTTTTGTGTCGTCCTTGACTGCTCCACAACATATTGGCTAAAGAAAAGAATTTAAAAACACAAAAACGTTGCTTAATGTGCCTGTAATGTGTTTTTTAATTATTGATCATTGGCTCGTTTCCTTTTTCTGACATAAATCCAGAAGGTGGCGGTAATGTCCCTTTAAGTTGGCTTCCCGACTACTAAAATTAACAGAAGTAGACAACAAGCTGTTAGCTGAGTTAGCTTGTTGTTCGGTGTCAGGTGAATATTTGAGTCTCTGCAGCAACAATGTCGTCAGGTCAGTCTCTGAGAGAGTTTATCAACAAGCGACTATCTGATGCTGCTGAAGAAATATTTACAGAGTTTAGAAGAAACATCGTTCAGTTGGAGGAAGAGATCGATCGTCAGCGCAGACTGCTGGATCTCAGCTGGAAACCACAGATCAACTTACACAGAATAGGTATGAAACTCATGCGGGACTAATGCGGGTTTACTGAGGACAGAATCTCAATAAATTCCTATACTCCTTTTTCGGTTTAAAGACTTAATTTCTGATACTAGGTCGGGAAACTTACCACCACTTAAGCTTTAGAGAAAGAAAAT